TCTATATTGCTTATGTTTGAGGACAATCTTTTTCCAGTTTGTGTCTTGTCTTGTCTTTTGTTGTTGTTGTTGTTTTGTTTGTTTGTTTGAGTCAGAGTCTCACTCTGTTGCCCAGCCTGGAGTGCAGTGGCACACTCATGGCTACCCCAGTGTTGACCCGCTGGACTCCAGCGATCCTTCCACTTCAGTCTTACAAGTAGCTGGAACTACAGGCACACGCTATCTCGTCTGGCTAATTTTTAAAATCTATTTATTGTAGAGACGAGATCTCACCAAGTTGCCCAGGCTGCTCTCGAACCCGTGGGTTCAGGCAATCCACTTGCCTCGGCCTCTCAAAGTGCTGGGAATATAGGCTGAGCTACCAAGCCTGGCCCTCTTTTTTTTTTTTGAGTCAGAATCTCACTCTGAACTCAGGCGATCCTTCTACCTTAGCCTTCTAAGTAGCTGGAACTACAGGCATGCGCCACCACGCCTGGCGAATTGTTTGTTTTTTTTTTTTATTGTAGAGATCAGGTTTCACCAAGTTGCCCAGACTGGTCTTGAACCCCTGAACTCGGGCAGTCCTCTCACCTCAGCCTCCCAAAGTGCTTAAGCCACCACGCGCGGCCTGTGTCTTGTCTTTTCACTCTCGTTATGGAGTCTTTGGTAAACAGAAGTTCTTTCTTTTAATACAGTCATACCCATCTTTTCTGATAGCATTTTAATGGTACATTTTGCAATTACTTAAATTCATATCTTCTTTACTTAACATTTTCAAATGTTTTCAAATTGTAGTTTCCAAGTGTCTTCATCCCTCTCTCCTCCCTGGAGAATCTCAAGCTTCTTATATAATAATCGTGCAGCTTCTCTACACCCATTCTTTGGGGAGTCGTTTTTGACAATACTGTGATATTTCTTTATTTCTTTATTTATTTATTCTTGAGCTAGAGTCTCACTCTGTCGCCCAGACTGGATTGCAGTGGCCGCTCCCGGCCACCGCAGCCTCGACCTGCTGGGCTCCGGCGATCCTTCCGCCTCAGCCTTCCAAGTAGCTGGAACTACAGGGCACGCGCTACCATGCCCGGTTCATTTTTTATTTATCGTAGAGATGAGGTCTCTCCAAGTTGCCCAGGCGGGTCTCGAACCCGCTGGCTCAGGCCATCCACTCACTTCAGCCTCCCAAAGCTCGGGATTATAGGCTGAGCCACCTAGCCTGGCTTACTATGATATTTCTTAATGATTGAGGTGCAGTCATTAAAAAATACAAAGTAGCCTGCAAAATTGAACATCATCCTTGGCTTATTCGAGTTTTTTTTCTTTTTAATCAAAACCTCTAAAAATTAATAGACTGTTTTTTAGAACAGTTTATGTATTTATTTATATTTCAGTCAAGAGCCTCACTCTCCTTCTCAGGCTGGAGTGCAGTGACAGGATCACTGCTCACTGCAGCCTCAAATTCCGAGCTCAAGCCATCCTTCCACCTCAGCCTCTTGAGTAGCTAGGACGACAGGCGTGCGCCACCATGCCTGGCTAATTTACTGATTTTTTTATAGAGACGAGATCTCATTATGTTGCCCAGACTGGTCTCAAACTCCTGGGCTCAAGAGATCCTCCTGCCTTAGCCTCATAAAATGCTGGGCTTATAGGAGTGAGTCGTCATGTCCAGCTTTAGAACAGTTTTAGATTGAAGAGTTACCATTTAATGGGCACAGAGTTTCGGTTTGGGAAGATGAAACTTTCTAGAAATGAATGATGGTGACGGCTACACAACAAGATGAATGTATTTAATGCTACTGAATGGTACACTTAAAATATTTTAAATGGTAAATTTTATATTATGTTTCCCTTACCACAATTTTTAACAAGTCCCCAAAACATTCTTTTCTGATCTTTCTCTATGTGTTGTTTTCAACCTCCTATGGATGCAGTACAGATGTGCTGCCACTGAGGAAGATACAAAAGAGAGGTATTTGGGGGTGAAGTGGCTAAAACCTGCAATCCCCGCTTCTTGGAAGACTGAGACAGGAGGATTGCTTGAGACCAGAAGTTGGAGGCTACAGTGAGCTATGATGGAGCCACTGCACTCCATTCTGGGCAACAGAGTAAGACCCCTACACTAAAAAAAAAAAAAAAAAGATTCTTGGTAGAGAGTTGGAGGGATAGGAGAAGTGTGACTATCCCTTTGGTGAAAAGAGAATAATTGCACACAGCACCTTCCTGGAGCTGTGCACAACCTGGGACATACTTCATGATGACACCGGTAATCCCACCCCCATCCCTGGCAGCAGTGACTTAAAACATTAGGCCGGGCCTATTATCCCCAGCACTTTGGGAGGCCAAGGCGAGAGGATTGCCTGAGTCCAGGGGTTCAAGACCAGCCTGGGCAACTTGGTGAGACCTTGTCTCTTCAATAAATCAAAAAATCGGCTGGGTGTGGTAGCACACGGCTGTAGTTCCAGCTACTTGGAAGACTAAAGTGGAAGAATCGCCTGAGCCCAGCAGGTTGAGTCTACATGCCAGAGTGAGACTCCAACTCAAAAAAAAAAAAAGTTGATAACTGGCAGTTCAATATTGACCAGATTACTTATACTGAAGCATTCAGGGCAAAAGGGAAAGAGACTATTTTGTGCTGATAACCACAAGGGTTTTGGGAGGAATGACTTCCCTTTGTGGTAGAAACAGAAGTGAGCTTATCCTTCAGTGAGGCCCAAAAGTTTCAGCATTGCCTCCAAGAGATAGGAATTTACCCCAGGGCTATCCAGTGATTTTCTACATAGACTAAACACACTGAATTCCCTGTCTACAGCAAATCATGATTCTGAGTTCTATAGACATGAACACCTATCTTTAACCACGTCTAGCAAAAAAATAGCACAATCAATTATTTTGCACCAGAGCAATTACCCCCTTTCAGTGCCAAAGAAAACATGAACCTCAAGCTCAGAGTGAGAGGCTAGTTTTGAGTAATCTGCATTTTGCATTATTTTAAAAGTATAATTTATGCTTATGCTGGGAACAGGTCAGGAACCATATTAAGGAATTAGATTTTGTATGACATGAGAATTTGCAGAACTTCAAGCTCATTTGTTTACCCCACTCATAAAAAACAGCTTGCAAAGTCAAACAGAAATGATTCGTGGGTTAATTATGCCCAAAGATTGATTGTACTTTTGTTTCATTTCCTTGGTCTGTAGATGATACTAAATCATACGTTTTGGAATGTTGTGCACAAGCTGAGAACATAATGTTCTATGTGGGCTGATGTGATGATGGACTGAAGCCTGGAAATCCATGGAATATGAGATGTGTCCATCGGGCACTATCACTAAATAACTAAAATCAACGTTATCTTATCAGAATGAGGACCAAGTATCTCCAAGTGATATTCCTTGTTCAGGAATATCAAAGTTTCATTACGCTTATCAAAATAAGCCCTGTTGGTTGGTAGTTGGTTGTGGTTGTTAGATATCCTGAGGAAATCTTATTCCTGTAGAGAACTTAGATGAAGGAGAGTAGTGAACCATGTAGTCCAATAGTTTGTCTCAAACTCTGAGTTTTTTTTCCATTTTTGTTTAGTGTTTCCATATCACAGGTCTGAGCGCTTTCTATGCAACTAGTCCTAAGTTTGATCCTTGGAGGGAATGAAGAAATGTTTAGGCCAGGCCTGGTGGCTCATGCCTGTAATCCAAGCACTTTGGGAAGCTGAGGTGGAAGGATTGCTTGAGCCCAAGAGTTCGAGGCCAACCTGGACAACATACAGAGATTTCATCTCTACAAAAAGTAATTAATGAATAGATAAAAATTAGTCATGCATGGTGGTGCACACCTGTAGTCTCAGCTACTCAGGAGGCTGAGATGGATCGCCTGAGCCCAGGAGATCGAGGTTGTGGTGAACTATGATTGTGCCACTGCACTCCAGCTTGGGTGACAGAGTTAAATCCTGTCTCTATTTTTTTTTTTTTAATGTTTAAGTTTTGCTCCTCAAGGAACATCCAGTTTGGGCTGAAGATTTGCACACATGAAAGAGTTCGATAGCAATGCAAAACAATTGAGGAATCCTAATCCCATGGCAGTGTTTAAATTGTGGTCTGAGGACCATTGTATCAGAATCAGCCGAGAAGCATGCAAAAATGCCTGTTTCTGGGCCCACTCCAGTCTGTTGCCTCCGAGTCTCAGAGTCTAGAAATGGGCATTTTAACAATCATGGCAAGTGATTGTGATGTACACGAAAGTTTGAGAACCCCTGTTATGTCACTGAATGTCAGAGTAAGTGAGTACAAGCTGCACATGCTTTTATTTCCTTGTTTCCCCATCAATGCACACAGGTCTCTAACTTTTTTACGGTGAATAAGGACCAGGGAACAGCACTTTCCTGAGAGCACCCTCCCTTCAAAAACCATTGCAGGCAGAACTTTCCCCCTGCCGACTTTAATCTTGCTGGTGGCAAGGCAGGGTAGTTGTTTTTATTCTAAAAGACTTTTTCATTTCACTGATTTATACAAAATATTCTCTAAAGAGACTTTATTTTATTTTATTATTATTATTATTATTTTTTGAGTTGGAGTCTCACTCTGTCGCCCAGACTGGAGTGCAATGGCCACTCCCAGCCACCGCAGCCTCGACCTGCTGGGCTCCGGCGATCCTTCCGCCTCAGCCTTCCAAGTAGCTGGAACTACAGGCGCGCGCTACCACGCCCAGCTAATTTTTTTTTTTTTTTTAATTTATTGTAGAGATGAGGTCTCGTCAAGTTGCCCAGGCGGGTCTTGAACCCGCGGGCTCAGGCAATCCACTCGCCTCGGCCTCCCAAAGTGCTGGGCCACTGAGCCCGGCTGGGACTTTATTTTTAAAGCCATCTTGTTTTCTAAAATCTTTCGGCTAGAGTCAAGTCATGTGAATGATTTCTTCAGAAATACTTTTTGAAGTCAGTGAAAGGTTGGTAGGAAATAAATCTCCCAGTGGCTTCTGTGGCCACAGCCTCCTACCCTTGATCACCTGCTGTTCGTTTCTCTGGTTGGTTTCAGGTGGAAAGCTCTCTGTGGTCCTGAGAGCCGAACAGATCTCGGAATTCCTGCTGGAACCACCCAACGCGGCGCTTGCCCAGGTGACCACAGCCCAGAGATACAGCTGTAACATCTGAAGACAGCTGCTGTTACAATTGTTAAAAAGGAGAGGTTTTGCCTGTTGGTCTGATGTCTTTATCTTATTATTTTTTTTTTGGTTGGAAAATATCGTTTATTTAAAAAGTAAATAACAGAGAGAGAAGATTCACCTCTCCAAAGTAGGAAAGGGGGCCAAAGCTTAGGAAACACGGCAGTGGCCATAGCTCAGAGAGCACATAGCTACACTAGAGTTTAGTTTAATTTAAAGCAATGGCCTGACAACTTTACAAATGCCTCAGAATGAGTGGTGTACATTCTCTAGATTCATGATTACTTTAAAAACAAAATCTTACATCCCCAGCTCTTGCTTGGTCTGGTGTCAGCTTGCCTAAAGGGAGGAGTCACATGCTTCCACTTGCTCTCATTTTTAATTGAGTCCAGGTAGAGATGAAATTATAGCAAAACAGATACTATGATAAAGAGATTTTTTTTTTTTTTTAAATGTACTTCAGGCCAGGTGTAGTAGTGCACATCTATAATCCAGGTGCTTTAGGAGGCCGAGGCAGGAGGATCACTTGAGCCCAGGAGTTCGAGGCCTGGGTGATAGAATGAGCTCCTATCTCAAAAAAAATTTTAAGTTAAATTTAAAATGTGCTTCCTACTGTACCCATCCTGGTCTCTATATCCTCTGTCACTTTTTGTCTATAAATTTAAAAGAAAAAGCGTCTGAGAAGTAGACAGCTTTGGCCCCCTTTAGGCTGCCGGGCAGTGTGGAAAGCTGATGTCTGTGTTTCTGCGGCATCGTCGAGGTGCCCTAGAGATGCCATACTGCTCACTGGCATCTGTGCTGTGTTGGGGGCCCCACGAGTCAGGGTCCAGTCTTCAGATTTACCAGTTCAGATGTGATAAAAGCCAGACATGATAAGGTTCTGGATAGACAACTCCCAAGCTGATTGCAGGGCCAGAACACCATCTAAATTAGTTTACAAAGGGCGATAACTGCTATCGGTTATGGACGCGGGAGACCAAAGTGCTGATCAGAAAAATGCTTGTGGAGCAAAAGCCTTTGAACTGGTCTCTCTGCCCCAATCCATGCTGCGCCATGCTTCTGGGTAATCTCCCAAAAGCACAGACTGACCCGGTCCCTGCTGGGAAGCCGCACTCCCCGGAGTTGGTGCAGATCCTTCAGCCCCTCCCACTGTGTGCACGTGTGTGTCTCCCTGACGTTACCACCTGCTTTCCCCGGAGTGTGTGCTACTCTTGCTTCCTACTCTTCTCCTCTCACTCACTACTGGACCTTCCTCAAATCTTCCAGGAAGATTCTACCCGTTGTTGTTGCTGTTGTTGTTGTAGTTTTTGACATCCCCCGGAATGTGCTCTACCTTAGGAACCTTCCTTAGGGACACTCCCTCCCTCATCTTGATGTGTCCTTTCCCCCACTTGGACCTTTGCTGTTGGTTTAGACCAGTGGTTCCCAAGTTCTGGTGTGCGTCAGAGTCCCCTAGAAAGCTAGCAAAAGAGCACAGAGAGCCAGACTTCACGTGGGGAGGCATGCCTGGGCCCGCCTAGGCCTTCCAAGTTCCAGAGAGCCCGGGTGAGTCTAATTCCAGCAAAGTTTAAGAACTACTGGTGTGGATTGTTTTGATTTTTTTCTCTTTTTTTGAGTTGGAGTCTCACTCCGTGGCCAGGATGGAGCACAGTGGCACGCTCACGACTCACAGCAGCCTCAACACCCTGGGCTCAGGTGGTTCTTCCACCTCAGCCTCCCAAGTAGCTGAGACTACAGATGTGTGCCACCACGCCTGGTTTTTTTGTTTTTTTTTTTTTTTGTAGAGACAAGGTCTCACTATGTTGTCTAGGGTGGTCTTGAACTCCTAGGCTCAAGTAATCATCCTCCCACCTTGGCCTCCCAAAGATCTGGGATTACAGGCATGGGCCACTGCGCCGGCCTGTGGTCTTTTCTTACAGCACTTCTTTTTGCCTTTTCCCCATATAATTGGTGCTTTTACTAACCCTCCCCGTTGTGATCTTAGTCATCGTATTCATTTAAATGTGAATTCCTTCCCACTGTACCCAGTACAGAGACTTTCAGAAGCAGGAACTCAATGACTATGTGTTGTGCAGAACTGACAAACAGAAGCAAGAATTAAGAGGGTGGGTAGAGGAAAGTTGGAGTGACATTTGCCCTCGTGGAGCAATTGTGTGGAGGCCTCAGTAAGCACGGATGATAACTTGGTTGAGAAAGTAAAACAGCCAGTGGTGAATCATTTATCAGAGGCCCACAGGGCACTTGGTTCTGAGCAGATGCTGTTATCCTCGGTTCTCCTCCTGAGGGAACAGATGATCTGTGAGAGGGAGAAGTCAGGCAATGATCTAATCCCAACAAGAAGGGAGACAGACAGCCCCTCAGGCTCCCTGAGGGAAGCCTGATCACAGTGGTGATCAGATCACAGTGGTGTCTTCATGTGTTTAGACACTGTGAATCCGAAGTTCTTTGAGCACAAGCAGGCCAGAGACAGGGCAGAGGGAATATGTCCTTATCAGAAGTGGAATGGGGGGGTGTCAGCCACCAGAACCGTGCAGGCGGTGTTCTTAGCTAATAGAGTGGGCCAGGCTAGGGCTAACAAGAGTGAACTTCTAACTGCGGCCTGAAATTAAAACAAAAGTCAGCCAGGCACCGTGGCACACGCCTATAATCCCAGCAATTTGGGAGGCTGAGGTGGGAGGATTGCTTGAGCTCAGGAGTTCGAAACCAGCTTGGGCAACATAGTGAGATTTCTCCTCTATAAAAATAAAAATAAAAAATAAAAAAAGCCAAAAACTCCGTAGCGTCCACAGAGGCGACTGTGGAGCCCAGGGGTGGTCAAGGGCTTCATCGTGTCCATCCTGGCCAAGGGCGAGTTGGAGGATGCCGCGGGGACAGTGCTGGCCTCCAACTCCCTCTGTCAGTGCTCATCTGCCCTGGTGGAAACCCACCACTCCTGGCATCCGCGCTTATTTACTCAGTCACACCGCACACTTTCTATGTGCGAGCACATCGATGAGGCATTTCCAGCAACGCACAGGAAGATCTCCCACACACCTGCTCACGTCATCACCTCTTCCCTTGGAAAATCCCACTTGAGAGTATTCCATTTAGTGATAAGGGAAGAGACAACAAAGTATACTTCCGAGCAACTCTTTGTCTTGCGATTACGTATGCATCGATGACCCTATTTACTTGTTCCCAGGACTTGGTGGATTTCCTCTCTCTTGATTTGTCTTATGGATGCGGAAAGGAGGCAAGTCTACCACAGAAGCTGAGTACATTGCAGGTAATTTGAGCCCTTTCCCAAGTTGGTGATAAATGATGCAGTTTCCCGAGAGCATATTGGACAGTTAATGCTTTTGCTACTGGGCGAATGGAACTTCCATCTACAGAGACCTGCTGAGTTGCATCGAGGGAGATGTCCGTTGTAAGCATCCCTAGAGCGCAAAGAATGTTAGGCAGGCTTGCTAGAAAGGATAATTAGGGCTTGCTTGCTGAGGCAAATATTTACAGGGACCTTCTGCTCTCTTGTGTGGAAATCTACTGAGAGCCGGGCACAGTGGCTCATGCCTGAATCCCAGCACTTTGGTAGACCAAGATGAGAGGATTGCTTGAGCCCACAGGTTCAAAAACTGCCTGGGCAACATGACGAGAGCTCGTCTCTACAATAAGTCAAAAACTTAGCAGGGTGTGGTAGCGCTTGCCTGTAGTCCAGTGACTTGGAAGGCTGAGTTGGAAGGATCGCCTGAGCCCAGAAGGTCAAGGCCGTGGTGGCCGTGAGCATGCCACTGCACTCCAACCTGGGTGACAGAGTGAGACTCTGACTCAAAAAAAAAAAGAGAAATCTACTGAGAATTGAAATTCCAGTGTTCATTTTGAGTTTTAAAAAGATAATTCATTGATGGTGGTGATGGCTGCACAACAGTGTGAATCTACCTAATGCCACTGTGTCCTTTAAAATGTTTAAGATGGTTTAAAAAAAAAGTCCAAGTCTCACTCTGTCCCACATGCAGGAGTGCAGTGGTGTGATCACGGCTCATTTAACCTCGACCTCCTGGGTTCAGGCGATCCTTCCACCGTAGCCTTCTGAGTAGCTGGGACTACAGGCATGCGTCATCACACCTGACTAATTTTTTTAATTATTTGTAGAGATGAGCTCTTGCTATGTTGCCTAGGTTGGTCTCAAACTCCTGGGCTCAAGCACTCCTCCTGCCTCAGCCTCCCAAAGTGCTGGGAATACAGGTGCGAGCCACCGTACCTGACCAAGGTGGTAAATTTTATGTTTGAGTCTATTTTACTGTTTTTAAAAAAAGAAACATTTTTACACCCTGGTCTACTAAATCAGATCCCAACTATCAACACCTTCCTGTAAGCTCAGGGCTCTTCTTCCCGTACCCCACATTGTTTTTCTCAAGGCTGAAGATTCTGGCTCTTTACAGAACATGGGTCCTCTCCAGCTTTTGGGTTTCTCACACTTGGTCACTGCTGTGCGACTTACTTGCTTAATTCCCTGGAGTCCCAACTACTCCCCCATCTCCTGACAAGCCTTCATTGATGGTGCCCGGTGGTTTCTCCCGGATCCTGGCAGCATCTATACTTTACCCTGAAGAGCTGCCTTTGTATGAGCCCCTCTAGGGATGTCTGACCAGTGAAATTCCCCCATGTTGGGCCTCTTGCCTCTGCAGTTTGAGCACGAAGCCACTTCCCACTGCTTTCAGCCCTGTGTCTCCCATGAGACAAGCAGAGCAGTCTCCACTGCTCATCTCTGGTTTTGAATCCCACCACCAAGGATGGTTTACCTGAGGGATTATCTCTTTAAAAGTCAAGTTGGTCATGTCAAATGCTCAGTGCTTCAGCTGCGTGGAGCCTCCATTTTACCTGAGGGAGGTGACTTGAAAGGGACAAATTAGCATCAGTCCAGTCTCAATGTCTATGTGTTTCGGTGTAGACACCACTGCTTTTGTGATCCACAAATAAGATGACCTAATCAAAGGCAATAGATGCATGCACAAGACATCGAAGTAGCCGCTGTGTGAGTTTAGTGCTTGCTTATGCCAGACCCTGTGGGAGGCTCTCCAGCCTCACGTTATTTCTATCTTCCCATCGTCTCTACCCCTCACCACACACCCTAAGGTTAAAGAAACTTAACCAAGGTCAGACGCTAGGTAGTAAGCACCAAAAGTGGGATTTGAACCAGGGCTTTGTCATTCTAAGACACCACAGTGCCTTTCCAAAAATAAGACCAAGGTGTTGGGTACGTTATAATGAGAGTAGTATTTTTTTTAAATCACATGTGATCGGGGCAACCCCTTCGGGTTCCCTCCCACTGTGGGAGCTTTTCTGTCCTCTCAATAAATCCTGCTTTCAAAAAAAAAAAAATCATGTGTGGTCAAATTTAGTTGTTTTCGTAAACAACTTCTTACCTGAACCCAAATTTGCTTGCAACCCAGAGCCTGTACTTGTGGGCTCGCTGACAAGGTCTCTTCAAGGTCAACTTGTGCCTGTGATGACTAAATCTGTCTTTTGTTCCCCTTGAAGAATTCAACAAAAGCTTGCTGTTCAGTTCATGGGTTCAGGCACTGCTGACATTTTAAAACCATCTGCGTTATGCAGAAGCGGCATGCCGCCGAGAGGCCGTCAAAACAGAAGCACTGGCACGATTTGTACTTGAGGATGTGGTTTTCAAGTCCTCCCTTTTTCTATCAAAACATTTGCAAGAAGACCCACTGCTACCAGTGTGTGGATAGAGCTGTGAAATCTCAGTCCACAGCCGGCCAGCCAAATAGCAAAACTCTCCCTGGACAAACTTAGCAGCCGTTGACTGCACCCTGCAACAATCCTTTATTCCTTTTATTCCCTTGGGTAGGAATTCAATTCCAGATGTTGCACTTGACAGCTCAGATGCAGCCTCAGAGATTCAGGATGACAACTGACAACAACTGAGCCTGAAAGGAGACTGTCCCTCTCTGGGGTCATAGTTACCTGCCTGATAGCATTTCCGGAGCACAGTTACCATACCCAGGACAGGAAGAACTGCCAAGTTCTCCCTGAGGAGACTGGCCCAGTTGTGTCCACAGGAGCCTGAATCACGCCGCCTCTTCTTTCTCAATACACTCTCCCTCCCCATCCCACCACCCTCACCCACCCCTTGCAGGGGTCTCCTCCCCAGGCTGTGAAGGAAGGGGGTGGAGGCAGTGCCAAGAGCAGCGGGCACCCGCTTCCACCCCCTCCATCGCCCCAGAGCAACTGCATGCCCCTCTCGGAGCCTTGGGGGACCTCAGCTACCACTCTCCGAGACACACAGAACATCCTCAGGCCCAGCATCTCAAAGAAGAGCTGCAGCACACCCCCAGTTCTGAGTTCTGCCGGAGGCACACAAGGGGGTTCACTTCTCAGAAAAGACCGCTCACCCAAGGAGTTACCCACTTGGCAGAAGTCAGGGCGGGAGCCTCCCAGCCAGCTCTGAAGCCCTGGGATATCACAGGCTGCCCCCGTCGCATATCAAGCTTTGGGAAGGAAAAGACCCTTGGGTCCCTAAGCACGCCACCCTCGGTTGTTCACCTCCCCTGCATTGACCCAGCACAGGGAGAAGATGAAGCCTCTCTGTGTGGTCGTGGGCAACTCACGCAGACTCTGTAAGAAAGGGACATTGTCACAGGCAGCTGTGAGAAAATAAAGTTTGTGCCTGGCTGCTTTGAAAGTAGTTGCTATTGGTATCTCTTGGTGGCTTTCGACTACTCAGAGGAGCAAAAAGTTACTGTGGGAAAAATGACCAAACCCCAACATCTCAAAAAAGGTAATTGAAAGTGAAGTCAAACAACATATCAGCTTAGAGATGCTTCCCTTGATACTGAAATGGCTAGAAATAGGGAGGAAAAATAACACTGCTTTAAGTTTAATGGTGGCAGCTCCTTTCACTTTTTATTATATAAAATTTCTAACATCCTAACCAGATACAGTGGCTCATACCTGTAATCTCAGTTGTTTCAGTAACTTGGAAGGCTGAGGTGGAAGAATTGCCTGAACCCAGCATGTTGTGCCCAGTGAGCATGCCACTGCACTCCAACCCGGGTGACAGAGACTCCAACTTAAAAAAAAAAAAAGAAAAGACAATTTCTAACATCCAAAAGTAGACATCCAGTAAATGGAAATGGGGACCTCTTTTTAAAAAAAATGTTTTGGGTTGGAGTCTCACTCTGTCACCCAGGCTAGAGTGCAGTGGCACACTCACAGCCACCCCAGCGTCAACCTGCTGGGTTCCAGCAATCCTTCTGCCTTAGCCTTCCAAGTAGCTGGAACTATAGGTTCACACTACCTCGCCCAGCTAATTTTTGATTTATTGTAGAGACGAGGTCTCACCAAGTTGCTCAGGGTGGTCTCAAACCCGTGGGCTCAGGCAATCCACTTGTCTTGGCCTCCCAAAGTGCTGGGATTACAGGCTGAGCCACCAAACCTGGCCAATGGTGGCCTCTTAATTAAACTTCTCAAGTAACACAGGCTCCTGATGTGAGCAGTGGCCTTGGTTTTGATCCTAACACAGTGCTTGACTCCAAGAGGTGCTTCATAAGCCTGAGATCAAGGGGTGAAGGTGGGGGTTAGTGGGGAGGGTGACTCATGTTATTGAGAAGTACAGAGCTTTTTCCTTCAGAGTCTGAAGTCAGCTCTCTTAATTCACTGAGATGCTGGAGGTCATTTCCAAAGCCAGAGTAAGTGTTCATAGTGTTTCATCTTGAAACTGTCCCTGTTATCAAAAGACCCTTTCTAGGCAGCTTTGTTTCTCTTGCTGGTCTTTCTTTTTCAGACCCTTGCGCCAAATGTGAAAGTTTTCATCTTCAACCTAAAATTCCAGGACTGCCCCTCCACCAGCAAGAGCCCAGTCAGGCTGTTTTTCAGCCTTCTCAAAGGTGAGTGGACCATTGCCAGAGAGGTTTTGAATGACATTCGGTGCGCTTGTTTGGTGGTGACAATCGTGAAAATCTAGGGTTCCAGTGGGAGGAGGAGCCCAAGAGGAAGGCTAGTCCGAGTGCCCACCCCAGAGGGACTAGTGTACACTGCAACCAGTCCCCACTGACCCAGGAAAGAGAGGAGGTTCCATACATGGATGCCTCCTATGGAGATAAAGAGCATCAGACCTCAGATATGAGTTGTAAGCACAGAAGCTGGTTTTTGATGCTCTGTCCCCCTTTCTTTTTTTTTTTTTTTTTGAGTTGGAGT